AACATTAACACCTTCTGGTCTAGGAACTAAATCCCATACTTGGAGTCGCACAAACTGTTCCATCTCCTATGCATTGAGGCTGTCCAGAACTCATCTTCGAGTGCTTCTTGTAGAGTCTTTGGTTCGATCTGTGAGATGAAGCAATCTTCCTTAGCCATCTCAGCCATGAGACACGCAAGCTTGACCATTCCCTTGAAATCAATCTGCTTTTTCCTCGTGACTCTAGGATCTAGCATACCTCCTATGACATCATCTGATGAGTGATTTTTGTGTACTGTGACTGATTCTTGAGTTGTGCCTTCTTGTAGATCAGTTTCGTTTGATTCACCGTTGCCCTTGTTCTCTTCTTCGTTGCCGAGTTGTGGAACACACACACTACGCTGTGTTACACCTTCTTGATAGAAGCCTACTCTGTCATCAAACACAACATTCACTCTTTCTTCAATGGTCTTGGTCTTTGAATTGTACACTCGATATGCTGAACTGTTTGTTGAGTAGCCAAGGAACATCCCTACATCACTTTTGGAATCGAACTTTTCTAGGTGATCTTTGTCATTTAGAATGTAGCAGAGACAACCAAAGACATGACAGTAGCTGAGATTTGGTGTTTTTCCCTTGAGTATCTCGTAAGGTGTTGTCTTAGTCTTAGGTTTCACATACACTCTGTTGATGATGTAGCATGCTGTGTTGATAGCCTCGGCCCAATATCCAGAAGGTACTTGGTTCTCCTGGAGTGTCCGATTCTTTCGCTCTACTACTCCATTTTGCTGAGGTGTTCGTGGTGCTTCATATTGATGTTGAATGCCTTGATCTTCACAGAATGTATCAAACTGATCGTTCTGAAATTCCCCTCCATGGTCACTCCTGATCTTGATGATTCCTCCTCTTTCTTGTTTGAGCTGGAGTGCCAGAATCCTGAAGCTCTCAATTGCATCTGATTTATTCCTTAAGAATCTCACCCATGTAAACCTTGAAAAGTCATCAACTAAAACAAAAATGTATCGCTTTCCAGCAATACTTTCAGGTGTAATAGGTCCCATGAGATCCATATGAATAAGTTCTAAAATAGACTTAGAGTGAATTTGAGATACCTGTTTATGTTGAACTTTGATTTGTTTACCTTGACAGCAAGCTCCACACACTGTGTCCGAATGGTCTTCAAGATTAGGTATACCTCGAACTACCTCTGCACGAACAAGTCTTGATAAGCCGTTGGAGTTCATGTGGCCAAGTTTCTTGTGCCATAAATCAATCTGTGAGTCTCTTACAGATAGGCATTTGCTTGGAGGCTTCCAGAAGTAACAGTTGTTGTTTGATCGAAAACCACACATGACCAGGTTCCCTTGCGGATCGACTGCCTGACACTCTCTGTTGTTGAAGATGACTTGTAACCCCTCGTCATACAGTTGGCTGATGCTGATGAGATTCGATTTGAGTCCTTCTACAAAATAGACATTTCTGAGTCTTGGAAGGTCAGCTCTCTCCATATGACCAACTCCACGGATTTTACCTTCTCCACCATCTCCAAATATTACTCTTCCTTCCTTGACAGGTTCCATAATTGTTAAGAACTTCTCATTCCCTGTCATGTGTCTTGAGCAACCACTATCAAAGTACCATGGTATCTCAATTACAGTATGATCTTCTGTGGATGTGAAGGCAACCTTTGCAAGACTTGGAACTGGGACAGTGTTCTCTTCGACATACTCCTCAATCACAACCATATTGCACACAACTTCTTTTCCTGGTCTCTGCTGAAATACTTGTGTGTCAATCACCTTGGCTGGAGATGGTGTTTTGTTTTTGAAGTTAGGATACAAGTCTGTTTTGGCAATCCAGACATGTCCAATTTGGCTTGGCTCAATGAAACATTTGTGGAGTGACCAAGCTCGTTGATATTGAGCTTTTCGAAAATAACAGTATGCAACCCTATGTCCTTGTTTACCACAAAAGTGACATCCATTGCGCATGTGTGGTGCCTGTTTTTTCACTGTTGTCTCAGCTCTCTTCTGGGGTTCAGTTCCTTTCTCTAACTCAGTGACTGTTTCTGAAGCTCCACTTCGAACAAACCTTACATTCGTTCCATCTTTGCTACTTGTACCTCGAAATCCTTGATATCCTAAGCCCAGAGCAAATTTTGGATTTTGTCCAAGTGAAAGAATGTGATCCAGCGTATCTGATCCATTGTTGAGCATCCTCATCTTCTTGTAGTTGTCACTTAGTTCTCTCTGTAGTAATCGACTCTTCTCAATCTCTTCATTCAGAAGCATCATCGCTTGATCATACTTAGTCTCTAAGTTCTTCAAGGAGTGAGTCTGATCTGTAACGGTTTTCTCAAGAAGCTGTATATCAGGACCCTTCTCACTTCCCAAAGTACCACTTGCAATTTTTCCTTCTGTACTTGGTGCGTCCAGTTCTAGAATGTTGACTTGTTCTTTAAGCATTGCTTTGTCTTTGATCAGCTGCAGATTCTCAAGACTCAACTCTGTAAACTTGTCAAACAAGTTCTTAAACTCAGTCTTTAGATTCAACTCCTTCTTCGTGCCTTCATGATCTGAATCTGAATCTGAATCTGAGCTTGAAACGATGTCTTGAGTATTGTCTTGTTCCACGTGAGCCATAAAGTTCAGCATGAGCTCCTCATCCTCACTATCACTTTCCGACTCGGTATCACTGAATGATAACAATGCTTTGTCTTTCTTCAGATTGTTAGGGCACTCACTCCTGGTGTGACCATATCCTTTGCACTCGATGCATTTGAGTTCCTTTCTCTTGGCTAGAGGACATTCACTTCGAAAGTGTCCAACTCCTTCACACTCATGACACTTCAGATCCTTCTTACGATTACTTCTTCCACCTTCACTTCGGTTTTGTTGTCCAGATGAGCGATCTCCTTCTCTCCCTTGAAACCGGTTGTTATTGCGATAGCTTCCCTTTTCCACTCTTTTGATCATCTTGTTGAAATTCTTAGCCAGGAGGCTCATATTCTCCTCAATGCGCTTTACTCTGTCTTCTTCTTTAGATTCAGCTGTGAATGCAACTCCTTTCTGTCCCTTGGTGGTTTCTTCACTTCGTTCCAGATCATGTACCTTCAGTATTCCAGCTAACTGATCAAACTTCATCTCATCCGTATTTACTGCTATCTTAAGAACCGCCTTGTATGCTTCAAATCTAGGAGGAAGACACCGTAGAACTTTCTTAACAAGCTTCTTCTCATTATACTTTTTGCCAAGAACCGAGGCTTCATTTGCTATTGCGCTGATCTTTGAAATAAAACTTCCGATTGACTCATCATCCTCCATTCGCATATTCTCGAATCTTGAGGCAAGGTGATCAATTCTGGTTCTTCTAACACTGGTGTTTCCTTCAAAGTGATTGATTAGAGTATCCCAAGCTTCTTTAGCAGATTCACACCCTTGAATAATCTTGAATTGATCGAGATCGACAGCAGAGAAAATGGTGGTGAGGGCCTTTGAATTGAATTTTGAGGCAGCTTTATCAGAGTCANTCTTGAATTGATCGAGATCGACAGCAGAGAAAATGGTGGTGAGGGCCTTTGAATTGAATTTTGAGGCAGCTTTATCAGAGTCAGTCCATCTTTCTTTTGGCATGGGTGCTATTGATTTGTCTTCCATCACCATTGTAGGCGCAGTCCAACCTTGTTCAACAGCAGTCCAGGCATCTTCGTCAATAGCTCTAATAATGTGCCGCATCCTTGCCTTCCAATGTCCAAAATTTCCTTCATCAAGCATGATTGGTTTTTGTAGAGCCACTAGTTCTTTCATGGTCTCCATGATTGTCGCAGGATCTCAACCTGTGAGTAGACAAACGCGTCCACAGAGGTGACCTGCTCTGATACCAAATGTAATTTCGTATGGACACCACAAAAGAGCAACTCGCGCAAATCCAAGAAAACTAACTTGCTTTATTAAGAATCACTTAAACAATCCTACAAGATCTGTTTAATCCGAATTACTCAACGTCACAACTTGACTTGAGACGGACCAATTCTTAATCTATCCAATGCACAGTGGTCGAGACAAACCTCACCACTTGCTTACTCAGAATCGCAGCTTTAACACTCAAGCTCGATAACCAATACTAATTCCCAAAGCCGTAACCTAACTAATGAACTCTATCACCAATATATACTAACGTATCCTATTGTGATAAGCACAGATTCTCCCGATATCTTCTTGTTTATTCTCTAACAAATATCCTAGAATCTTGAGTCATTATCTTCTGAACGGCTCCTTGTATTTCGCTCCTGGTGTAACACTCGCTCCACGTTGTGTGACACCTTAGCCTTTTTCCGTTCAACCACACTTGAGCTCACTTGAGTGTAACACAACCTCTTTTCCGTGTAACACTCCAATTGTAATGCTCAGCAACCTGAGCTTACATTCATTTCATTGGCTGTCCGGTTATGCCTCGTCGACTAAATCTCCATGCTATTGTCGCTACAATGCCCACAATTTGGATTTTTGACGGACTGGTGAGAGGTAGAATCATTGAAAGCAGGCGGTTTCAATTCGTTTTCCAGACTGAGGAGCTATGGAATCAGTGATACGTTGTGGTCCTTGGGCTTATGCAGAGCGTATGCTGGTGCTACAACGGTGGTGGACGTCATTGATGGATATGGCTCTTCCAAACTTCATTCCATTCTGGATTCAGATTCGAGACATTCCTTTTCAATTCATGAATAGGAAAGTTATTGTCCACATTGCAAGAACTATGGATTCTTACCTATAAATGGAGTACAATGAGGAGGAAAGTGGTCACCGTTCAGAGTTTGTAAGAGTGAGACTTAAGGGGAACATTATGCTTCCATTGCGATTCCAGAAAAATTTCCAGTTCAGTACAGATGTTAACACATAATTAAAGGGTACTTAGAAGCTATCCTAAATATAAGTGAGAGTTATCATATTTCTATCTCCTTTTTTTGGTAACTTATATCCACCATTGTGCAAACTCTTATGACACATTGAGAAGAAGGCAACAATGTATAAATGATACTTAAACCAACATATGAAAGTGTATAGTGTTGTCACAAAACAGACAATCTTTACAGCACCGTAAGAGAGAGAGCCAAAACGGCTAGAGAAGAAGCTTTTAAGAGATTAAAAAACAATTATAAGAAAAGATAATAAATAATAAACCCACTCGGTTCAGTATCATCTTGGTGATTCAGACACTAAACCTCACCATCTGATCCAGCATCATCATCTTCTTCCTCGTCGTCTGATTCAGGCCAAACATACTCGACGTCCATAGGATGCCTGTGCAGGAAATTCAAGAGCTGTTCAAGGTTCCTCATCTGCCTAAACGGCCTTTGCTCCACCACCTCTTCTTCTTCCTCTGTCTCACCCATTTCTTTAGGATCACAGTAACACACCACCTTCAACCCAAACTTTCCTGACTCGTCCGGATCCACCAACCGAAACGACTTTGCTAGTGATCTTCCCATCACTCTGACATGGGCCACGCTGCAAAAAGCAACCAACAAAAAAACTTACTCTCAGAGTCTTTGCAGGCCCTAAAAGGAATCTACTTAAAACCAATAGGGAAGAGACAATGTACCATATGTAGTATAGACCATCCCCTTCTTGTGTCTGAACTCGACCTAGAAACTCTATTAGCATATACCCACCAATGCAAACAACTGGCTCTGGCAGCTTAAAGGTCTGTAACCGATTTTCCTACTCACGTATAAAACCAAACACAGTTCAGGAACAAGATTTTGTAACGAGAATTGAGTTATATAACACACATACCTGAGCCATTGCAAACTGTTGCGAAGTGTAAGTCCATACATAGTTGTTATTCTCCTGTGAGTTGTTATCAAGATGACCCAACCGGAAACGAACATAATGTGAAGAGTATATCGGCGCACCACGCTGAAAATAAGCTACAGATAATAAAGGTGGAACACCGTTAAAGCAACACCTAGAAACAAATAAGACAAGGAAGATGGCATTGTCCTCTCTCTACCTTGAAAAGGGTGAATGCTGAACTCAGTAACGACACACAAATCACCCTTCAACTTATAAAGAAGTGTTTCTGGCACAGAAGTATTGTGTTGTCCTGAACTAGACCAATACGAAGGTGTGGCACCAATTTTATCTCTTTCATCAAGCGTGTTCAAGATACTCTCTTCTGGGAAATTATCAGTGCTAGATGCTATAATGGCATCAGCAATACAGCTTCTGATAGGAGACGATGTGGATCCTTTAGCTAATAAGGCAAAAGCCTTGTGCTCTCTTTCTAGTAGCTTTGTCTCAGCCATGAGACTACTGCTGCTTGAACCAGAGGACTCTTCATTGCTTGCTTCGATTACACGATCCACGCAAGTTAGCTGATGGAACAGCTTGAAACACAGGTTCTTTGAGAGACCGTATCTAATCACTGCAATCGGAAAACAAAAAAATCAATTACACAGAGAGAAAGCAATTAAAAGGTGGGGAGTTTTTGAGATTTTTTACCGAACTCTCGCCAGGAGCGTGAGACAGCACTGGCACGGACAAGATCTGATGGGTCATCAAGACACGAAAGAATTAATAGAGACGTGTCCGTGTCAAGATTCTTTACGAAATCCATCTTGAAATTCAGCCTACAAGAAAAGACGAAGGCTTCAATCGAAAAGCGCAGAAACAAACGGAAAACAAATATGAAAACTTTTTACCTTTGTTGTTTGTTATTATCGATAAGATCGAGCGACGGTGACCCTAGAAACAGAGAGGATGAGACCTTAGAGGAAGACGATTGTTATTTTATTCATTCCAACGCCGACATCGTTAACCGCATTGGCTAGTTCTGTCTTTTTCTTCGCTAAATTACTTTTTTTTTTGTAATGAAAAGCAATAACTTTATCAAATTTATTTAACTAGATTTTAATTCAAAACGCAACACTATTTTCACTTACAAAATTTTATTTAATAGATTAGAACTGCATCATAATATATGTATTTTAAGTTTTATATAAATTTATTTATATTTATGTACATTATCTATCTTAATTAATTTTAAAATTTAAATATTGAATTTTTTGAAAAAATATAATTAATAATCTAGAAATATTTTCTTGATAAATTTATTTAAAAGTTAAATAAAAACAATTTATGAAAAATGTCATTTTTGTTTTTGTCACATTTGTACAAATTTAGACTTCCGTTTTAAATTTATGAAATAAAGTGAAATCGTTTTGAAATGTTAATATATTCAAATTTTAGATTTGTAAAGATAAAACTTTAATACAAATTTCAAATTAACTTTAGTTATATTCTTAACTAACCTATACTATAGCACAATATCATAATTTTCACTTAATATTTTATTATATTAAAGCAATAGTGTAAGTTTAATAAGTAATATATATATATATATATATATATATATATATATATTTGTTTTAGAAAATAACATATGTTCATAAAAAAAAAAACTATTTTATTTTCAATCTTATATCGTCAATTAATTTTATATTAATATAACTATATAATAATTAAAATATAATAATTTTAGCGATATTCATAAATTCTAGAAAATTTCTTTTTTTGTGTATTTATAATTCATGTTACTTTTAAGATTAACAAATTAACTAAATTATATTTATTATTTAAATTAATATTTAATGGAAAATTTCCTAAGATAATTTTTCTTCTTTATTTGCACAAAAGAATCCCAGAAAAGAAAAGGGCTTATTTGCCATATAGCCAAGAAAAAAAAGGAAATTAAATTTTTAGGAGAGAGAGTAGAGATAGATAGGAAGGGAGAGTATGAGAGAGAGTGAAATTTTAGCTATTTAGTGAATTTATGTTTTTCTTATGTCTATAGGGTGCAATTTCTCAAAAGGAAAATAGCCAAAAAAAACTGTATTGAAAAATAAATATATTCTTATTAAATCCAGTGCACCATTTCATGATTGTCATTGTGACGTTGTCTCAATAGTGATTGTTTTTCCAGGCTTAACTCGGGATATCCCATACCCCTCCCCACACGAAAATTCCCCTTTGACCTTTTATTATAATATATTATATTTTTTATTTATTTTTAAATAGAAAAAATGGTTAATTACGGTTTGATAATGGAGATATGAGATATTTACAGGATCCAACCACGAAGATCTGACCCAGACTAAGCAAACTAGAAAGATTTGACCCAACTAGACCTAAACGTCATCGTTTTTGTGTTCCTTCAACTCTCCTAATTTTTTTTTCAAGTCTCAAATTCTCTTCTTTCTTTCGCGACAGAAACGGTGACGAACCCTAAAACTCCGACTCCTCCATTTTCTTTGTTTCTTCTTCTTTCTCTGTGATAATCGAGTTCGCCTGTCTCCGAATTGACTTCCTATCTATTCGTAAGTGATTTATTGTAGTTGATTTCGTCGTAATTTGTATTTTAGGATAGATAAAAATTGGGGAAACTTGTAACTTGTAGACGAAACTAATTGTGCGATTTTCATATGGGTTTTGAGTGAATAAGTTGAATCCAATTGGTAAGATACTTGTTAAATCCAAGATTAAAAATAAGGAAGAAATTGTAGGATATGAATCGGGTATGTATTCAATTGGGATTGGAAACTATGTTTGTTTTATAGGTTATGGAAAATGAAAATAAGTTTGGTTTTGAGATAAATGTAGTGAGGAGAGTCGGTGTAGTGATTGATATTACCATGGTTTAGAGTTAATATTTTTGTGATTGGATGTTTGATATGTGAAAGCGAATTGTTGATGACACTTAATTGATGTTGTGTTGTTGTTTGCGGTTTGAATTTAGAGTTTCTGAGTCTTGTAATGTTTTATACAGGAAAGTTATGAAGGAGGCAAAGAATAAGGGAGTCTCCAATGAAAGGCGTCGTCTATCTCTTAGGCCGAGACAGACCCCAATTGCAAAAAAACTAGTAATTTCTCAGAGAAGTAAGAAGAGTAAGAATAGTAAGAAGAATAAGAAGAGTACGCCAGTGAGAGTCCGAGGCTGAGATCAATGAGGTTCTGGTTGAGTATGAGCCTCTGGTTGAGTCTGAGACTCCAACAATACCACAATAACAGACGTCGTCAATTTCAATTGAGAAAAACCAGGGACTTCTGAAAAAAAGGATAGGAAAATAGAAAAAAAAAACTAACTTCTATTGAGAGTAAGGTAAGTGAGTATGGTAAAGACATGGATTTTGGACAGTGGGATGGTATGGATTATTATCCAAACGAAGGGAATGACAAAGATGATGCTGAGCAAGAGGTTGGGTAAAACAAGGATGACAGCGACAATGCTCAGTAAGAGGCTGAGAAACATGATGAAGAGGGTGAGGCTGGGAAAGACAAGGATGACAGCAACAATGCTCAGTAAGAGGCTGAGAAATATGATGAAGAGGGTGAGGCTGGGAAAGACAAGGCCACTGAGTCTAATGAAAAAAGCGGTAGTGAGACAGAAGAAATGTGGAGGTTGAATCAAGCGAAAGAGGCTGGGAACTCCAACACCACCACGTGGTAGGACTAAGGCAATGGCTGCCTGGAAAACGCCACCTGGTATAGGCAAGACATCTAGAAAAAGAAAGTCTGCTAATCCACAGAAGTGGATACTGCCACGAGGGGTGGAAGAACCTGGAAAAGGTGAAGAGCCTGCTGTGGAAGAAGAAGAGCCTGTTGTGGAAGAAGAAGAGCCTGTTGTGGATTCGCCTTCTGTTCAAGAATATACTGAGGAAGAAAAAAAAAAGTTGGGTCATGATTTTTTACAAGGGCTGTGAGGAGAGGATGGATAGGAAAGATGAGGTTAGAGAAGTTGGGTCATGGTTGTTTACATGCTTTTGGATGTTTAAAACTCGGTTGAATGGTTTGTTTTTGGTTTTGGATGTTTAAAACTCGGTTTAATGCTTTCTTTTTGCTTTTGGATGTTTAAGACATGTTTGGAAAACTAAATTTACAGGTGTTACTCTGCCCAAAAATGAATTGCTGGGATAACTGGAATTACTGGGTCTATTGTAATGCAATAAAATTATAGCAAAAAATGGAAAACTCATGTAAAACCTACTATTCCAAATTGCACAAAATAATACTAGTAAAACTAAGTAGTCCGAAACAAACATAATAGTACAAGTAAGACGGAGTAATCTGAAATATACACAGTAATACCAGAAATTCCTAATAGTCCACATTGCACATAATAACACCAGTAGTACCTAGTAATCAGGATAACACATAATAATACCAGTACTACATAGCACAAAACAATACAAAGAATCAAACACCTGAACTCGAACCAATTCCACATTCAAAATACGATGCCATACCTCCTCTTATGGGTCAAGATACGCCGCTGCTTTAGGATACTTCCTGCGATACCAATCTCGGGACATCAGACATCACTAATTTCAAATCCATACCATCATCCCGTGTCTGATTGACACCATCATACATCTCAATGTGTTCGTAAGAAGTGAGCACACCACTATTACCATCTTCATCACGAGCCTCATCTATAGTCTCTCTATCAGATAGACTGACATAGACATCACTTTCATCATTCTCAATACCATCTTCATCAGCAGCCTCCTCTATAGCCTCTTTATCAGATACACCGACATAGCCATCAGTTTCATCATCATCTTCTGAAAGTTGCATTTCTTTATTGATGAACTCCACATATTCACTTGTACACTTCTCATAATTTACTTGCACTAGATAACCAAAAATTTCGTCATCATTCCGGATGTATGATGGCTTGTCGAACACAACACCATTGGAAAGTAACTAATCTTCACTTGCACCTTAGATTCATCTACCTTTATTTTTCTTCAAATACGCTCAACCAAACCAGAGTAAGTGATCTCCTCCATTGAATTTCTCAACAAAATCGTGTGAATTTCATCTTCTCCTTCACCATCTCTCGGGATCCATTTTATTATAGCCCCATATTTCATATAATATGCCCCATAATAAAAATAAATGATTGTGCAATGCAGATTTTGCACATTCCTGAAATAAAATAGAATTATCATTATTAAGATGCTTAGAATTATTTCTCACACCCGTACAATCTTCCATTACTTTTTTTTTATAACACTGTTTTATTCAAAATGATGAGGTTTACAAAAAAAGATAGTAAAGAAAAATATGAAGAGATGTCAATAGACACCAAGAAAGATGAATGAGACCTCACCTAGTCCCCTTCTTGTTGGGCCTCCATAGTAAGTAAGTGATGTAACCACATAGGATAGCTTCGGGCAATGTAAGACTGATGACGCAGATCACGAGTTATGCTTAAAGCAATTGCCGTTGCCACTTCATTACGTTCAGGAAGGGCGTGATCCAAACTCCATGAATCTATCCTTGCAAGAAGAAAAGAGATGTTGTGATGGATATGGCTGTAGCTAAGGTACTGATCAGGGTTTGTAAAGACGTCATGTAGGCTCTCCGAGGAAGTCTCAAAAATAATATTTGAGAAATGTAGGTTTTGTAAACATTCAACCGCCCAGAAAAGAGCCCACAAGTCAGCTTCTGTTTTTGTGCGCATATAGGAATAGGATCGCCGGCTATGCATGATGGTAAATCCATTTCCATCACGTAAAATCCATGAAGCACCACTCAGATGGTTGGACTTAACCCATGAGGATCCAACATTACATTTGATGAAACCATTGGATGGATTTTTCCAGCAATTTCTTTCCATATTTTCTGTCTGCACCCCATCCATCGTTGTTGTAAATGTATCAAACCACGTGGATTCCTCTTCATAGGCTCTTTTAGAAACAAAAGAAGGTTCAATATCCTTACTTTCAA